GAAACTTTATTGATGTTTATGGGGGGTAGAAACAGACATCGAACGAGGACCAGGAAGGCCCCTCTCCAACCTCCATCGCACCCGCCTTCCCAGCATGCCTGTGGATGTCACCCCACAGTCCCGGGCAGGGCAACACGCCTCGCGCCCCCCCCCCCCCCCCCACCCCTGCCCATCCCCCTCCCACCCCCATATCCCAACCCCCCTGAGTGAAATCTCAGCCCCTCTGCCCCCATCAACGTCCATCCCAATCCAGGCCATTCGGAAAAGGGCCAATCCAACTGGATGGACCCACAAATTAGGGGCTTTACACAAATACTTCTGTCTCGGACCGGGGAGGGGGTGCAGTTATAGACCATTCAGGCTTCCCATCCCAACCCAGCTCCCCTCCCTCCTACCCGCACCCCCCACATTCCTTAAGGTCCCGTCTCCCACCTCCGCCATATTCCCACGTTCGCCCCAGACCGTTCATTCGCGGGGACGAGGAGGCCAACTCCGGAATTTACTGCCCCGTCCCTGAATGCCCAGAGTCCGACTCCCGCTGCAGAGGGACTGGAGTCACGTGTGGGCCAGACCAGTCGAGGATGGTAGCCCTCGAATGAAATTGGCGAAGCTGCTGGGCATTTCCCGACAATTTCGATCGTCGCCAGGCTCCAGACTTTTTGTTTTTACGTCCAATTCCAAATTCCACCTTTCTAGCTGCGATTTCAACTCGTCCCGTCACTTCAGCCTCTGGATTAAACGTCCAGAGTTGCGCACCCCACGTCAACCTCTAAACTTAAAGCGTCTAAATATTTACCAAGAGATAACAAGGTGTAGAGCTGGATGAACGCAGCAGGCCAGGCAGCATCAAAGGAGCATGAAAGCTGACGTTTCGGGTCTGGAGTCTTCTCCGCTTTCTGAAGAAGGGTCCTTTTCTTGACCAAGGGGACGTGTCTAGCCCCGTTAGGATTTGACACGTTTCAATCAGAGCCACACCGCTCCCCCTCAACTCCCCGTCCCCTCTCATTCTTCTAAACTCTAATGGATACAGGGCCCCCCCACCCCTAGTCTCTCCTCTTCCCCCGGCATTGGCTCAAGGTCATTCCACCGTACACGCCTCGAGTGTCTCCTTTCTCAGGTACGGGAGGGCCAAAACTGCCCACAGTCCTCCGCGCATGTGGTAAATCATCCCAACTTCCTGAGTTGCTCATGTGATGGAGGCCTCCTCTATGGCGCACTTTCTAATCTCCTCGTCTGCAGGGGCATACAGCTCGAATTAAACTCTGCTTTGCTCCATTCCCCCCGCCTCACACTCACCCGGCTTCGAAAACCACACGCCCCCCCGCCCGCCGTTCAGTGCCCTACGTTAACCCAGAGGCTATGAAGGAGGGGGCGCACAAGAAAGGCTCCCGTACGATTTTGTCCTCGTCAACGGGACGCCCCGGGGGCCCTGTAGGAAGCTACAGCCCCCCTCCCCTTCCCTCCGTGTAACGAGCTGAAGGGCGAGACCCCTCGCTTCCCCCCCGCCCCAACCACCACCCCCGTCCACACTCCCCTCCCCTCTGTGTCCCCCCCCAGACAGTCAAGGCGAAGCTGCAGCGAGGTGCCAATGGATGACGAACGCCAAATGGTGACCCCCCCACCCCGCCCCCAACACTGTCCACGGCAGCCTCCTGCAGGGGGTACCCAAGGTCCGACGGGAAGGGAAACGTTGGGGGGAGGGAAGGGGGTGTGCAGGACAGGTCCTGTCAGTATATCCGCTTCCACCCCCACCCCATCACCAATTCCGAGACAGGGAGCTCCTGCCCTTGATACATCCCTGCCACGAGGAGGGGCGCAGTGGGCTGGGGTGGGGGTGGGGGTGGGGAGGTTGGCGGTTTGAAGCAGTTCTAATTTTGGTGGTTTTGGTGGGGTGGGGGGTTGCGGTGGGTTATGAAATTTCAAGGCAGCCCCCATAGTGCGTCGCTGACACTCACAACCTCAGACAGTGCGGCC